CCACGCCCCTCCCACACCGTCACCACGCCCTGCTGTAAACCACGCCCTCACCACGCCCCTCCCACACCGTCACCACGCCTGGCTGTAACCACGCCTCTCCTTTGCCAGCGCCTGGGGTGGAAGCCGAGGACCTCCTAACAGAACCCCTGGGGAGGGCTGGGGATTAACGAGGGTCCAGTCCTCCTGGGGGAACTCCGCCGGCCCAGGTTCCCCCCCTCACAGTGGGGAACTTCCCCCCTCCCGCTCCCTCCCCTCAGTACCACGACCAGCAGTTTGGCAGCTTTCCTGAGACGGTCAGGACACTGGGGGCACAAGGAAGCCGAAGGACACGGGCGGTATGCTGGCTGCTAGGGGAGGCCGAGGCCCCCACACTCCCCGTGTTTCAGGACCCTCAGCTCCTCTTCCAACAGGAACACCCTCCCCTCCCACCAAGGGCCACACCACAAGGCGCTGTCCCCTGCCCAGGCACACAGAGGGTGGAGACACAGAAAGTGGGAGGAGAATGAGTACCCCTTTCAGACAGGCCCAGGGAGTGGTCACTGGAGCGGGTAGAGAAATGGGAATTCACTGCGGCTTTTAAGAAGCCTCTTCCCATCCCCCAACCCCTGCCCCCAAGCATCCAGGGCTCCGGCGACTGTGGTGTAGGGTCGGGGGGTACCCAGCAGCAGAGAGAAGAGCGCAGAGGACAGAGGCCAAGTCTCTGCTTGCAGCAGTGCCCACCCAGCCCACGCCTCTGCAGTCACCCTTCCTCTAACTGTCCTGCCCTCCTCCTGCAGCCTAAAGGAACCACAGCCCCCACAAAGGGGCACTGGAGACACAAGGCCAAGGAATGGGCAGGTAGCACCCAGCCTCTGCCCTGTGGAGACCCCTCCTGCCCTCGGAGACCCCATCTTACCACAGCAGAACACCACCCTCATCGTGTCGTGCTTGGCCATGCCCAGCATGGGCAGCATGGTGTTGAGGATGGACGTCAGGAAGGGCACCATGCCGAACACTGCAAGAGGGGAGCATGTCACGGAGGCCCCACTGCCACCCCACACCCATCCTTCCTGTGCCCCCTGTGCCCCAGGGAGAGGCAGAGGGCACCTGGCCGCACAGCCTTGAGCTCTTTCTGCACAGCCTGGGGCAGGTGGCGAGGAACTGAGGCACCAACAGGCTCTCAGAGGTCCTCACGACTCGCTCAAGAACACAGGTGGAAGGAGGTCAAGGCCAAGCCACCACCTACCGTTGGAAACCGAGAGGTTGGCGAGTGTCTGCACAACAAAATAGTGGGGCAGGACCCCAGGCTGGAACTTGCTCAGCATTTCCTCCATCACTCTGCCGATGAACCGCTTTCCCACGGCCACAAGGACGTTGCTGGCGGCCTGCTGCCAGTCACAAACCAATTCCTGTCCCCCCAGAAAAATCTGAACTCACACCCCAACCAACCAAAGGAGGCAGGACCTCACCCTGAAATCGCTCAAGAGGCAAAAACGAGATACTCTGCCCTCAGTCAGGCCAGCCAAGGACAAGCTGCCTGTTTTCCGGCTCACTGCGAGAAGGAAAGTGCCGCCACTGTGGGCCAGGTCCCATGCTGAGCCCAGCACTGTCCCCAAACACCAAGACATGGTCACCGGAGCCCCTGCACTTGCCCTGAGAGTTTAGGGATTTTGCTCTCTGCTTCAGTCTCCACCTCTGAAATTATGAGGTGACCCTCCCCGCCCCAGGAGGGCAGTCAGTGTGCAGAACCAAGGGACCAGCCCCAAGGCAGCCAGACACAAACCCACATTCCTAACGCACTTGGGTAGAAAGGCCTCGGAAAGAGGGTTCCCTCCCCAAGCCAGGGCCGAGTCTGCCAGGCCAGAGCAGGTGCCTTGGTCAGCACTCCACATACCTTCACCTTGGTCATCTCACTGGAGGCCAGAAGGATGATGGCCCTGGCCATGTCCTTGTCCAGCTCGCTGATGTGACTGCTCACCACCACCTCCATGGCCCTCAGGATCATTGTCCGGTACGGATGCGCCAGCTGAGGAGAGAAACCATTGAGGAAGGTCCCGGAAGGTAAGCCGAGTACCTAGGCACCCTGCCAGTGCCTCTCTCTTTCTCTACAGCAGTTACTCAAAACAAAATCATCCCTCTCTGCCCCACCACGGGAGGAAAGGAACAATCTGACCATTCTTCATGCTCCCAGAAGCTACTTAATGCCTCCCACAAAGAAGGGCCTCAATAAGTGTGTGCAGGGCACCCGCTCTTCAGAAGGGCCAGGAGTGTTCTGCGCAAGACCAACAATAAGCAGATGGTAAGCCGGTGGACTTCTGCCCTCCCAAGTTCCAGGAGGAGCTGCCCCTCGTCCTCAGCTAAGTGGCCCTATCGCAGCATAGTTCTCTGTGACCAGGACTCGCTTGTCTCTCACAGCCCCTCCCCAGCTTATGAACACGCCCAAGTTTCCTAAGGCTTAAATGTAAAATGACAACACTGCCCTGTGCCCCCCTTAGCCATAATCCCACATTCTCCCCCCTGCTCCGGGTGGTCCTGGCCAACCCCATCTCCTGGGTTAACCCTCTACAAGTCCTGCCACTGGCCCCAGCCCCACCTCTGCCCTGACACAGCCCTCTCGTCAGCTTCCTCCCGGCTGTGATCCCACCCAGCATATGTCCTCTTCATCTTAACTGAGGACATGCCCATGACAGCTGAAGTTGCAGTGATAGGTGAGGGGCTGGCTAAGAAAGCAAGGCACTTCACAGTGATGACAGAAAACTCCAGAGATGAGCAGAGCCCAGCCAAGGGAAGGGCTTCATCCTGCCAGAGGTCCCAGGGCAGTCATGGAGACTGGAGGTGAGGCCAAGAAATACGCTGGGAGCCGGGAAAGACCAGGACTGGCCTCTCTCTGAGGACCCCCCACTCCCAGGAACAGGGCATCCAGACAGGGGTGCAGACAAGGGGGGCACACCACCTCAGTGCAGCTGGGGACAGGACAGAGCCCGGGTGAAGGGAAGAAAAGGGGCAAGAAAGAGACGGACTCGGGCTGGTCACACTCTGTGAAAGCAGGGGCACACAGCGGAGGGGGGCTGCTGCTCAGGCCCAAGAAAAAGGCCCTGGAGCGGCTGCCACCAAAGACACCGTGTGACCCTGGGGTGAGAGCCCCCTCCCTGACAAGGCACTACCGAGCTCCCTCTTGCAGAGGCTGTGAGCAGCTGTACTGGGCAGCCGGGTGCCCGCATCTACGCGAACAGCCATCTCAGCAGCACTGTCTGCAGGTGGACACGTCAGTACCGTCCAACGTGGGAGAAACCCCTTGACACCAGCTTGGTGAAGAAAGCCAAGCACGATGTCCGAGCACTATGTGAATGGAATGGATGCCAACTCGGCCTCAGTGTGCAGCAGGTGGACGGAGCTCCGGGCAGCACCTGAGTCAGACCCACTCACTGCGCTCAGCCATGCACGCTGTTCTGAGTTCCGAGCACCAGCGGCTGGCACCAACACATGTCTGCTGAGCGTGTTACACACACCGATCACTCAGCACCGGCCACTGTGGACATCTTGTCTGTTCCTGAAAAAAGCCCACGTGGATCGTATACATCTGTAGGTCTACTAACAGTTCACATGAGACCTGCCGTCGTTTTCTGAGGAAAACCTTCCGTTTTAGGGCCTTTTTCTCAGTATTAAATTTTCCAGGGCCGGCCCCGTGGCTTAGCGGTTAAGTGCGCACTCTCCGCTACTGGCGGCGCGGGTTCGGATCCCGGGCGCACACCGACACACCGCTTGTCTGGCCATGCTGAGGCTGCGTCCCACATACAGCAACTAGAAGGATGTGCAACTATGACATACAAGTATCTACTGGGGCTTTGGGGAGAAAAAGGGGAAAAAAAAAAATTTTCCAGCCATCCTGTGGGGTGGCGAGTCTTTGATGGCAAAGGTGACGGTCACGCTTCCTCTGCACCAGCCCTTGTTTGTGAATGCACACTTCCCTTTCTTTTCAGGCCTCTGCAAGCAGGCTTGTTTGCATTTAAAGTCTAAATTTGATAATAAATTATTATTTCAGATTTTCTTAATTTGGATGCTCTTCCCACGTGGGAAACCAAGCAGTCCTTTGGAAGTCCCTCCTCCCTGGAGCCGAACTGAGTGCCTCCACTGGGCTGTCACTGAGAGAGGCATGGCTGGCTTAGGAGGCATTTTTTCTTTGAAGAGTGAGAGAATTTGGGGGAAAGAATGGAAAATGAATGTAAATTTGTATGATTCTATTTAATCAAAATTCCTGCTAAGTCAGGAAGAACAGCTGTGACAAAGCAGTTGGAATGTTGATTCCCACTTGATTTGGACTCACATTATTTCTGTCTTCTTAAAATACTTCGCTTTCTGGTTCTTGGTCTTGGAAAGACACTGCAAGGTGCATTATATACACATTTTTAGCTTCTTTTGTTTTCTTTTCTCATAGATGAGGATGTTTGGTGGAGGATCTTTGCTTTTTCCCTCAGATAAACAAAAGGGAGAGGTGGAGTTCCTGGGGCTGAGTTCTGCGGGTTCTGCTCACAGCCCGTCAGTCACACTGTGCGGGACACCCTGCCCCTCAGTGCAGTGGGACAAACTGGGTCATCTGGGCCAGTACACCACTGATGGGCTATGTAATTGGAAAACCTAGGTACCCGTGAAAAAAATGCATTCCCTGAAAAATGTGTTGTCGAAATCTGTATCTTTTTAAAAAAACAAAAATTTGGATAGGCACTACTTCTGTTCTAGCATTTGGTCTGAATTTTGTTTTGTTTTATGGCTGTAAGTATTGTATTTTTAAAACCCTACCTCCATTAACAATTGGAAAAGGCCCCACTCAGGAACATCTTTCTTCAAGGAAAGCCTCTTGTTGCTGGAAAGTGAACATGGTAACAAGCCTTTTTAAATAAAAATATACAACTTATATCTGAGGAAAACAAAAATGTCCTAAAAACACAGCTGCTTGGGTTTTTTTTTGCTTTTTTTTATTGTGTTAAAATACACATAATGTAAAGTTTACTATCTTAACCATTTTTAAGTATACAGTTCAGTGATATTAAATACATTCACATTGTTGTGCAACCATTACTATGATTCAACCACATGAGCTCTTTTCATCTTGTGAAACTGAGACTCTGTCCCCATTAAACACTGACTCTCCATCTCTCTCCCCCAGCCCCTGGCCACCACCATTCTACTTTCTGTCCCTAGATTTTGATGACTCTAAGTGTCTCATATACAGTCATGTGCCGCATAACGACATTTTGGTCATCGATGGACCATATATAGGACGGTGGTCTCATAAGATTAGTACCATATGCCCTTGATGTATAGTAGGCTGTACCATCTAGGTTTGTGTTAAGTACTATAGGGGAGGGAGAAATTTTCCTCTGCCCTTCTAGGTTCTTCTGGCTGGTCTAAGAATTAAATTGACATGAGACAGATTAACAGGAGAAAAACAAACACAAGTTTAATCACATGTATACACGGGAGAAACCCAGGAAAACCGAGTAACTCACCAAAATGGCAAAAGCCCTCACCTTAAATACCATCCTCAGCTAAAGACAAAAAAAAGATGTTAGGGGGGCTGGCCCTGTGGTGTGGTGGTGAAGTTCAGCGCACTCCATTTCAGCAGCCTGGGTTCACAGGTTTGGTTCCCGGGCGCAGACCTGCACCACTCATCAGCCATGCTGAGGCAGCAACCCACATACAAAGTAGAGGAAGACTGGCAGCAGATGTTAGCTCAGAGCAAATCTTCCTCACCAAAAAAAAAAAAAAAGATGTTGGAGGTAGGGAGAGTCAGGGACTTCAAAGGGAAGGAAGGCAATTCCCAGGTAGGTGAAAAGGAACAAATATTTGGAAAACAAGTGTTTGGCCACACAGAAACAGAAGAACTCAGAGAGGAGCCCAGCACACAGGCTTGTCTAGATTCCTCCCTGTCTACCACTTATTTCATATTATGCTAAGGTGAGAGCTCACTTCCTGAGACAAGTTTTTTACTCGAATTCTTTTAGGCCGTTAAGGGGGACGTAACAAGAAAAACTTTGAGTCTTTTGTTTCTTAAAAATAATCAGCCTAAAATAATCCTCATGTTAAAGAGACACAATTTAGGGTGGCAAATTTGGTCCCCTTCAGTACACTCTATGATGTTTGCACAATGACAAAATTGCCTAAGACACATTTCTCAGAATGCATCCCTGTCGTTAAACAATGCATGACTATAAGTGAAATCATACAGTATCTGTCTTTTTGTGACTGGCTTATTTCACTTGGCTTAATGTCCTCAAGGTTCATCCATTTTGTAGCATATTGCAGAATTTCCTTCCTTTTAAAGGCTGATTAATATTCTGCTGTTTGCATATACCACATTTTGTTTATCCATTCATCCATTGATGAACGCTTGGGTTGCTTCCATGTTTTGGCTATTGTGAATAACGCTGCTATGAACATGGATGTGCAAATATCTCTTTGAGACCCTGCTTTAAGGGGTATTTTTTGGGTATATACACAGAAGTGGAATTGTGGTAATATGGTAATTCTATTTTTAATTTTTTGAGGAATCTCCATACTGCTGTGCCACTTTATGTTCTAACCAACAGTGCACAAGGGGTCCAATTTCTCCACATCCTCGCCAACACCTGTTTCAGGTTTTTTTATTTTAGCCATCCTAATGGGTGTGAGGTGGTATCTCATTGTAGTTTTGATTTGCATTTCTCTAATGATTAGTGATATTGAGCATCTTTTCATGTGTTCACTGACCATTTGTATATCTTCTTTGGAGAAATGTCTATTCAAGTCCTTTGTCCATTTTAGAATTGGGCTGTTTGGTTTTTCGTTGCTAAGTTTTAGTTGTTCTCTATATATTCTGGATATTAATCTCTCATCAGATATATGATTTGCAAATATTTTCTACCATTCTGTGTGTTGCATTTTTACTCTGTGGATAATATCTTTGATCTACAAATTTTTAAAAATTTTCATGAAGTCCAATTTGTGTATTTTTTCTTTTGTTGCCTATGCCTTTGGTGTCATATCCAAGAAATCATTGCCAAGTCCAATGTCACGGAGATTTTCTTCTACGTTTTATTCTAAAAGTTTTAGTTTAGGGCTTACATTTAGGTCTTTGATCCATTTTCAGTTCATTTTTTTATGTGGTGTGAGGTAAGGCTCCAACTTCATTCTTTTGCATGTGAATATCCAGTTTTCCCAGTACCATTTGTTGTAAAGATTGTCTTTTCCCCATTGAATGATCTTGGCACCCTTGTCGAAAATCATTTGACCATATATGTGAGGGCTTATTTCTGGGCTCTCTGTTCTATTCCATTGGTCTATATGTCTGTCTCTATGCCAGGACCACACTGGTTTGATTACTGTAGCTTTGTAGTAAGTTTCGAAAATCAGGATGTGAGTTCTCCAGCTTTGTTCTTTTTCAGGAATGTTTTGGTTATTCAGGATCCCTTGAGATTCCATGTAAATTTTAGGATGGTTTTCCTATTTCTGCAAAAAACATCACCCCGAAGGGCAGCCTGCCCCCTCCCGCGGCCCACAGCCCCGCCCGCCTCACAGTGGGCATACCTTCCCGTGCTGCTGCAGGTACTCCTCCCAAGCACTGAGCGCCTCCTCTGGCTGCGACTCTCCAAGTGCGCAAAGGGCACTGCACACCTGCTCCTGCACCAGCGGGTCCTTGTCGGTGACGGCGTCCAGCAGGATGGTGGACAGCTCTGCAGCAACAAAGCCCGGCGTGCGTGCTCAGCAGGCGCCGACCCCACCCTGGCCAGCACCCTCAGAGATGGCTCGGACCCAGAGCTGGAGAAGACGCCAGCCCGGAGCTACTCTTGCACATGGGCACCCCCCACCTCACTCGCCAGGGTCTCTGTTGGGACACACTAGCCACCTGAGCACTCTGGCCACCTCTCCCCTGACCTTGTGTCCCAGGGCATTCATGCTTCATGTCTCCCGCCCCGCTGAACAGTGGCTCCCTAAGAGGCAGAGGTTGCAGGCACACCGCCGAGTAGAAAACTGCCCCCAGGTGGCCCTCTGGCCCATGCTCTGCCCTGCCCTTGCAGAGCAGCACCCCAGTCACACCACCTGCTCCTGCAGACTTCTCCTCGTCCCCTGCCCCCACCCACCAACGCCCCACACCTGGAGCCAGGTGTCTCCTGCTCAGCACCCCCGACAGGACCCCATCATCCTCAGTGTCCTGCAAGGTCAAGACACGGCACCTGCAAGCAGTGCTTACAGATCCTCACCCTGGGGACGAAGCTCTGTGGGGCAAGGACGAGTCTCCCTCTCAGCAGACTGCTGGCCCTGGCTGCAAGGGCAGAATGGCCAGCCAGCATGGACGCTGGACTCAGGCTTGTGTAGAAAGGGGTGAAGACACAGGGACCCCTCCCACATGAAGCATGAAGCCCCTGCACCCAGCAAACACCGGCCCCACACCAGACTGTGCCTGTGGCCAAATCCGCCCCCTCTGCTTCAGTATCTGCAGACACAACTACTTCGTTTTCTTTTTTTAAATGAAATCTTAGAGAAAGCGTGTTCACTTGTATGAAGGAAGGTTCCTTCCTTCAAACCACACTCACTCAATGCCATGTGCTCATCTGCGTCCCAAACTCAAAAGCTAGCAGGTGTGATGTTGAGGCCTGCCCGAGAGCCCAGCAGACACCCCACCCTTGGGGGCCCCACCCACCCTGCACACTCACTCTTCACATAGGACTCGGTCATTGCTGTGGTCTCAACTTTCTCTCGCCCACTGTGAACGTGGACAGCTTCTTCTCAAACCTGGAGTAACCAAAAACGCAACATTTAATTCATAAGCTTCCTCAGTTTACTGGCAGTTACTACGCTTGTATAAAACACGCAATTTAAACAAATTTGTTCTGGGGGAATTGTTTCTGCCACATTTTGGCTGAGTCACTCGCCAAAAGGCACCATTCCCATAACAGTTACCAGCTCTCCTCCGCCCCAGCACCTGGCAGCCCTGCCGGCGTGGTGCCAGCCCACCCGGTTGGCCCACGGTGGCCTGGGCAAGTGTGGTTACCGCCTCCACCTACAACATCTTCCTTCACTCTGTGAAGAAGAGAGGGTGTACGTAAGGTCTGTGTCGCCGACGATCTGTGCACAGCAGAGAAACCTCTCCCTGAGGGCCAAAAACAACGGCCTTGACCGCTGCAGACCAGGGCTCCCCAGGCCTGCGAATCCTAGCGCCATATTAAGTGAGCCTCCTAGCGGCAGAGAGAGACTGGACAGGCAGCACAGGCATCCCATGGGCTCGGTGGTGCGTGAACCAACCAACCACACAGCCCAAGGGATTCGAGAGTCGCAACTTCCAAATATCACATGTCTCGAAGCACCACTTACGACAGCTGGACCCAAAGAATAAAGTTCATCAAATATGCAAGTGCCTCCACCTCTCCACCATGTGGTCACACGTTCAGACCTATGTCATACTTTCCAAGGACCTGTAAGGTCAGAGGGGCCGCAGGCCTCAGCGGGGCAGCTGACTGCTTTCTAACACTCGTGTCCTCTATTCACTGGCGATCCCACCGCCTCTTCCTTCCCTTGATCACCTCCCATCCATAAAAAGATGGAGATAACAAAGGAGAGATGCCACGATCTGCCCCCAACCAGGCAGGACATACTCACTTCACTGTGCTCACACGGGGAGGAGGCAAAGTGAGAAACCATGTAACACTTGGGAGGTGGTGGAATTAAAAATAAGTGAGAATTCTAGTTCAAGAAGGCAGACTGCTCTCAAGCATTCACCCATCCCACCGAAACCTCAATGAAATGACAGAAAAGATGCATGTCTTAAAAGAATAAATCCACAAGAAAAGATAAAACTAGCAGACCAGAAATTTCTAGGAATCCCAGGCAGATAGAAAGCAGATAGAGAAGACTCTGGTCTGAAAATGGTGGCATCAGCGAAGTGTTTCTCCTTTCTTCCTGGAAAGCATCTAAAGGTAACAAGGAAAACAAGAAATCAAAACACATATTCCATTTGTGGCAGAGCAAGGAGAAGGCAAAAAATCCCAAACCCCAAAAGGATGAAGAGCTGTCAGGAGGGGCATGAGGTGCGCAGGCAGCAGGTTCCAGAAAGAGCCCACAGCACACCCTTTACAAAGGCAGGGGACACCCTCACGTGGGACCCAAATCCTGAGTTCCCTTAGCACCCTGTCCCTGGGGCAGAGGCTTTGCCCTGTGAAAAGCCATAGCTGCCTATCTCCACTGCCTTGGAAAAAACAAGGGCTAACCCAGCTCAAACTCCACGAAGTCTGGAATGCCCATCATACAAGTGCACATGGCTATGCTCACCCAACTCCAACAGGAGCAAATAAAAATAAATAAGCATAAGAGATGTCAGCTCCAGCCCAGATGGGAGTAAGAGACCAATCTGCCCTCCTGACCAAAACAACTACACAACTGGACAAAACACATGGAATTGTAGTGCTCAGGGTGAGGGACATCAGGAGACAAAGGCCGGGGACCCTGAGACCACTCCAGCTCACTGCCTGGAGGGCGTACCCAGGCTGAGGGGCACTCAGGAGGGCCCAGCAATACACCTGAGCTGAGGAGACGGACTGGGCGAGTCTCAGGAGACCTAGGTCCTGCTGGAGTTTGCAGGACGAGAGAAAACTCCAGAGACCTGCAGAGGGTCCCCTGGTCACTCAGCTGATTTGCTGGGCAGCAGAATAATGTCCCCAAAGATGCTCATGCCTTCATCCCCAGAACCTGTGAATATGTTACTTACATAGCAAAAGGGATTTAGCAGATGAGATTAAGGGTACAGAGCTTGAGGTGGGGGGATTACTCTGGATTATATGAGTGAGACCAGCCTAATCACGTGAGTCCTTAAAAACAGAGAACCTTTCCCACCTAGGTCTGAGAGATGAGAGAAAGAAGAAGGAGGATAAATTCAAAGAGTGGGAAGGACTCAACCCACCATGGCTGGCTTTAAAGACGGAGGAAGGAGGTTCTGAGCCAAGAAATGTGGGTGGCCTATAGAAGCTGGGAATGTACCTCAACTTATAGCCATTAAGAAAACAGGGACTTGAATCCTACAGCCACAAAGAACCAAATTCTGCCAACAACCTGAAAGAGCAGGAAACAAATCCTCCCCATAGTCCCCAGAAAGGAACACAGCCTTGCCGACCCCTAGATTTTAGCCCAAGCAGATCCATGTTAGATTTCTGACCTCAAGAACTTTAAGATAATAAGTGTGTGGTTTAAGCCACTAAGTTTGTGGTAATTTGTTACTGCAGCAATAGAAAACTAATATAAGTGCCATGTTTGAGAAGAAACCACCAAAGGACAGGGGAAGAGCCATCCAAAAGGATTAGCAGAAACAATGTCTAGAGCTCACAGTAAGCTAAGAATGGGCCAGCTCCCAGAAGCTAGAGGGGAAAACATCAAAACTCACAGGGCACTGGGAAGAACACCCAAAAGGGTTTTGCCTCAGTAAAGAAGTAAAATTAGCCCTAAACTAAATTCTATTCTGGTCTCACCTAATAAAGCTAAAAGCATGACGTGAAAGGATCAAACTGTTCCCAAGTAACTTAGCCACATCCCAGAACAAAGCTGAATAATAATAATAGAAATACAAAAATATCCAGCACCAACAAGGTAAAATAACAATGTCTGGCATCCAATAAAAAATTACCAGACATACAAAGAAGCAAGAAAATACAACCCATAATGAGGATGAATCAACCAATACAAACTGACCCAGAAATGACCCAGAGGAAAGAATCAGTAGAAAGGACATTAAACAGTTATCATCACTGTATTTCATATATTCAAGAAACCACAGGAAAGACTGACATGTTAACATAAAGAGGTTAAAGTAAAAGGATGGGAAAAGAAAAACAAGGCTGACACTAGTCATAAAAAAGCTGGAATGACTATATTAATATTAGGCAAAGTAGATTTCAGAGACATAACAATCCTAAATAAACATTTATGCACTTAGTAACAGAGCTTCAAAATACACAAAGCCAAAACTAACAAAAATACAAGGAGAAATAGACAAATCCAAATTATAATAGGGATTTCAATAACACCTCTCTCTCCGTAATTGGTAGAACAAGTGCACAGAAAATCAGTAAGAGCACAGAAGACCTGAACAATACTGTCAACCGACTTGACCTAAGCAGTATTTATAGAATACTACATTCATTAACAATAGAACATACATTCTTTCCATGGAATGGAAATGGAACATTTACCAAGACTGACCATACTCTAGGCCATAAAACAAGTCTCAATAAATTTAAAAGAATTCAACTCATACAAAGTATCTTCTCTGACCACAATGGAATTAAATTAGAAATCAATAAGAGAAAGCTATCTGAGAAATCCCCAAGTATTTAAAAGCTACTTACTATGCTTCAAAATAACACGAGTCAAAAAAGAAATCAAAAGTGAAATTAGAATGCATTTTGAAGTGAATGAAAATGAAAAGACATATCTAAATTTGTGGGAAATTTATGTCACTAAATGTCTGTATTAGAAAAGAAGAATGACATTGTCTTCCATCTTAAGAAACTAGACACTTGAAGCAAAAGAAAGGAAAGAATAAATATCAGTATATAAATCAAAGAAAAAGAAAACAGAGAAAAAAAATCAATGATACCAAAGGCTAGTTATTTGAGAAGATCAATAAATTTGATAACCTCTAGCCTGACTGATCAGGAAACAGAGAGAAGACACAAATGACCAACATCAAGAAGGAGAGGTGACATCACTTCAGATTCTACAGCTATTAGAAGGATGTTAAGAATATATTCTGGGGCCAGCCCCAGCGGCCTAGTGGGTAAGTTTGGTGCACTCCACCTCAGCGGCCCGGGATTCAGTTCCCAGGCATGGACCTACACCACTCATCAGCGGACATCCTGTGGCAGCGGCTCACTACAAAAAGAGGAAAATTGGCAACAGATGTTAGCTTGGGGCAAATTTTCCTCAGCAAAAAAAAAAAAAAAAAAAAAAAGACTATATTCTGAATAACTTTATGTCAGTAAATTGTACAACTTAAAAGAAATAGACAAATCAATTATACCTCAATAAAAAGTAATAAAAATTTTAAAATAAAAGAAACAGACAAATTCCTTGAAAGACATAAACTACCAAAGCTCACTGAAGAAGAAACAGATAACCTAAATAGCCCTATATCTAATATAGAAATTGAACTTGTAGTTGAAAACTTTCCCACAGAGAAAACTCTAGGTCTAGACAGCTTCCCTGGGGAAATGTATCAAACATTTAAGGAAGAAATAATATCAGGGGCCAGCCCCATGGCGTAGTGGTTAAGTGCACGCACTCCGCTGCTGGCAGCCCGGGGTTTGGATCCCGGGCACGCACTGACACACCCCTTGTTCAGGCCATGCTGTGGCAGTGTCCCATATAAAGTAGAGGCAGATGGGCATGGATGTTAGCCCAGGGCCAGTCTTCCTCAGCAAAAAAAAGGAGGAATGGCAGATGTTAGCTCAGGGCCAATCTTCCTCACAAAAAAAATAAATAAAGGGAACTTCCTCAACCAGATAAAGAGCACCTAAGGGAAACCTATAGGAGCAGTATCCTCAATGGTGAAAGACTAAATGCTGCCCCTGTCAGATGGGGAACAAGGCAAGGATGTCTGCTCTCACCACTTCTATTCACAATCATACTGGAGGGTCTAGCCAGTGCAGTAAGGCAAGAAAAAATAATAAAAGGCATTCAAATTGAAAAAGAAGTAAAACTTTTTATTCACAGGTGATGTAATTATTTATGTAGAAAATCCTACAGAA